TGCAAAGATCCCACCAGTTTCAAGATGTTCGATTACAATTATTGGGCCTAGAGCCAAGATGCTGAATTGGCCTCCCTTTGTTCGTAAACCCAAGCACCTCACTCAGGGCTCTGATCTTTCATCCTGTGTAATGATAATTAGCTGTAACATATTCCAAAGTCAAATGTAAGCAGGAATACATTAACATTGAGATCAGTGTCAGGGCAATTTTCACTGGGAAAATGACAAAGAACACACACACACACACACACACACACACACACACAATCAATCAATCAAAAATTTCAAGATTCAAACATTCACAAAAACACTTCCAGGTTCGAGAATATTAAACTCATTGCCTTGGCTGTTGTGAGCTCTTACCTAGAATGCCAAGGGCTCCTAAAATGGACGCAGTGAGTCCCACAGCCCGTGCTTAACAGAGAAAACATGAGTAATAAACCACGGTGGCTTGCTTTAATTTTTCCTTTCTTCATTAAAACAAAGAGGGATAGTACGTTAGGTGATTTGTGGTCCAAGAAGAGGTCTTCCAGGCGATTGGACAGCATGGCTCTCAACAGCTGGTCCAGCACATTTGGGAACAGCATGTAGAAAAATGCATCAGTGTTTTGAAGATTACCAACTGTGATGATGTATTGGTTATGACACAGTCTAAAAAAGTCAGATTTCCTAGCCACAAACTATATAAATGAATGCTCTGACCATCAGGCTACGCACTCAAATTCAAGACTAAAATAAGTCCACATTTGGGAAATCTAAACTTTCACACCAATTCCCATTCTTGAGACTGAAAACAGTAGCAGCATTCAGGGACATCTAAAATTTCTTGTTAAGCGCCAAGGAGTTAAAGATGCAGCTAGTTTCCTAGAATTTACCAAGTTTATAAGAAGGTAGAAGAGAATGCCTACAGTAAATGTGCAAATACCTTAATGAAAGGATTCACAATGAATGGTTTTCTTGGGATGAACAACTTTAACTAGATTATTCTACCACGGAATCTCTGAAATTGACGTAAACTTGGCAGGGACTTTCTTATTCCTTTCAACTGTCCCTCCAGACAAAGGAAACTGAAAGAAATAAACCTCTATTAACTGTGTTTTGCAGCCTGATCAGCTTTTTATTTGCATTGCACTTTCCCAAGACTTTGTTATGAAAATTTGCAAACACATAGAAAAGTTGAAAGAACACCATTGTATCTATCACATAGATTATACAATTAAAATATTATTATGCTAATTTTATCATCTTTCCATCTATCATCCCTCTATCTATTCATCAATCCACTTTACTATATTAGATTGTAAAATGAAAAACCAATAGCCCATCCAACAAGCAAAATTAAAACCATCTCGCCTTTATGATAATTACTTAATAAAGTGAGGACCATATACAGTGTAGTTCATTAACTCGTTCAACAAATATTTCTTGAGTTTCTGCTTTTGGGTCTAAGTGCTGAAGATAGAAGATTGAATAAAATAGCCAAGGTCTCTGCCTTCACTGAATTTACAATTTACCGGGCTTAACAGGAAAAAGAGTGAAATAATGGCACTCTAAAACATGCACAGAAAGATATGTCAAAAAAGACAAATAAATTTAGCTGGTACTGACTGTTCTTAACTTAAAGTTTGTAAAAATGGCAGGAAGAATGTTTTATGAGTCGCCATATTATTGCCTATAATGAAATCCATACATAGCAACCTCTCAAAATATATTTGTCAATTTACTGAATGAATGAATAAATTTTAAAGTTTATAATGTAGACATCATTTAAAAGCTTCAATATTAAGAAGTAGCTGCACTCTGGAAGAGTAGCCTTAAAGGTAAATGAATAATACATAAAGTCAATTAAGTTAACAAATTTATTTTTAACAATCCCATATTAAAATACTTTTTGAAGAAAACA